TATATATATATATAANAATATATATATATATATATATATATATATATATATATGTATTCAGTTATAATGTGCATTATTTGAACTAGATGAAGTTGCATCATTATCACGACGCCGTATGCGCAGCTGTCATTCGTTATAAATTGAATTTGTAATGCAAATTTTAAGATATTTACAAATTTTTTTCATATTGCACAAAAAATTTCAGAGAAAGTGTTCAAAATCAATGTATGGTAAATACGATAATTCGGTTGTTCAAGAAATTTGGTAATGGAGTGTCCCGTGTCATTCAAGTATAAAGGGAAAACTGTAGAGCGACTTCCAGTCGTGCGTATGGATAACAGAACTGGCCACACGCGCTACCTCCATATTGCGTAAGGCCATAATTGGCCCTTCAAAAATGTTAAGCTACGGTAGAGTTATAAGACGATTGCCAAAACTTACAAGGCATTCACGTGCTAATCATTTCTGTCGACCTTTAAAATATATTGGTAAGTTTTGATATACTACATTTTTAAAAATATAATTTTTTTCAATTTATATAAATTTTTTTTCTGTTTCTTAATTTTTTATTATTTTTGAATTAAACATTAAATTAATTCTTTGTTTTTTGTTTTAATTATTATCAGTAACAATAAGATTTAATAATTGTATATATATCTTTAGACAATAATAGTTTTTAATTGATATTTTCTGTTAAATTTATGGATATGTTTGATTGCAAGGACACCACGCGATATAACCTCAAATTTGAATAGTGATTATACTTTATCAATATAATTTTTTTATAAGATATTATTGATGAAAATCTTGCCAAATTAAAATTAATATTTTTCTTATTGCACATTATTAAATTAAAATTATTTTATGAAACATATGTTTTTGTAATTCAAACAAATATATTTTAATAATATAAAAAACTAATGATAAAAATTTGCATTCTGTCCTTGTTAATAAATATTATATTAATGAATATGATGAAATTATTTATAAAAAAATCTTGTTTTTTTGATTTTAGGAATTGTCAGTGTTCATAATTTATTCTATAGTAATTATACAAATGACAAAACATATAAACCTTCAGGAACTACTATAAAACCTGAAGAATGTGTGCCTGAAAGTAGATATTCCAAAGAAAAAAGAAATGTTCCTTTATGTGAATCTCATCCTAATGCATCTTGTCCACCATCTTGTTATGAAGTTTGTGGAAAATCAGATGATTCTCAAAAACCAAATGACAAAAAACCATCACCACCATATTGGAAGATATTGGCAACTTTAATTATAGCAGGAGTTGCAATATATACGGTATAGTATTGATAATTTTATTAATTTTATCACATTATTTTATCTTTATTATTAATTATATTCAATAATTATTAAAAATTATTAAAAAATAATATAAGTTAAAATTATAATAAATTATAATAAATTGTTATATTATATTATATTATATTATATTATATTATATTATATTATATTATATTATATTATATTGTATTATATTATATTATATTATATTAATAATGTAATGTAATGTAATGAATTTTTTCTTTATTTAATATTTTTTAATATTTTTAATTTTTAAACATTTTAGATATCTTCAAATTGGTTTACTAAAAAAAAATCTGATTCTCAAAAGGATGTAAGTAAGAGTAAGTTGAATAAAAGTTTGTTCTTATAAGATATTTTCTAAATTTTAAATATCTATAAGATTAATTTGTTTTTATCTCACATATTTAGGAAGAAAAGAAAGAAGAAGTAGGAGATTACTTGAAAAAATTAAATCACCCCCTACTTCTAAATCATTTCCTTCAGAAATACCTTATCTTTTAATAGGAGGAGGAACAGCCACATTTTCTGCATTTAGATCTATTAAATCTAAAGATCCTAGAGCTAAGGTGTTTTGTAACAATTTTTTTCCTTTATTTGCTAACATTAGGGTATAGTAATATGACTAAATATTTTCTTTTCTTCAGGTTTTAGTAATATCAAATGAAGATTTACCATACATGAGACCACCATTATCTAAAGAACTTTGGCGTAATAAAGATAGAAAAATGTCTGCACAATTACTTTTCAAGGCATGGAATGGTACTCAAAGAAGGTAATAATTAATTATTCATATGATCAGAAATTTATATTAGTTTTTTATGTTAGTGATTGATTATGTTATATTTATAGTATATTTTATGAACCACCAGAATTTTATTCAGATGTCAGTAAATTGAGTCAGTCTGATAAAGGTGGTGTGGCTGTTGCCAAGGGTTGGAAAGTTATAAAAATTGATGTTCCAAATAAAACTGTGATGCTTGATGATGGTCATGAAATAAAATATGACAAGTGTCTTATTGCAACTGGTAAATATAATTAATTTGTATATAATTAATTTCCAGATTTATATAATTTTAATTAAAATATATGTGTAGGTCTATCACCTAAAAATCTTCCACTTTTTGAATCAATGCAAGATGAAATTAAAGATAAAATTATTACCTTCAGAAGAAAAGAAGATTTTCTTGATTTAGAAGAAGCTGTATATGATCCAAAATGTAAAAATATTGTAATAATTGGTGGAGGATTTCTTGGATCAGAACTTTCTTCCTCATTAGCTCGAATCTGTAAGATTTTATTATTTATTATTATTAATATTATTGTTTAATCAGTTATCAATATTAAATCATAGTATTAATTATAATTATTATATTAGCTATTATCAAATATCAAATTAATAGCAATTATTTTATTATATATATCAAATTAATAGCAATTATTAACCAAACTAATAATAATTATATTTTTATTCAGTACCAGAAAATAAAAATGTATATCAAATATTTAAAGAATCATTTAGAATGGAGCAAGTATTACCTCAATATCTCAGTGAATGGGCAACAAAAAAGGCAATATCAGAAGGTGTTAAATGTATTCCTAATTCTGTAGTAGAAGATTATTCTTATAAAAATGGAAAATTGTCTCTCATTCTTTCGGATAATCACATTGTATGTTTTATTTACATTTCTATAAAAATATGGAAAAGAGTACAATAAATGCATTTTTTTTTTTATATGCAAAGATTGATGCTGATCAAGTGGTACTAGCAGTAGGTGTTGAACCAAATGTTGATTTCGCAAAAGCTTCACATTTAGAAACAGATCCTGAAATAGGTGGTTTTCTTGTTAACGCGGAATTAGAAGCAAGAAGTAATCTTTGGGTTGCTGGAGATGTAGCTTGTTTTTATGATATTAGACTTGGTAGAAGAAGAGTACAACATCATGATCATGCTGTAGTTTCAGGAAGATTAGCTGGAGAAAATATGACTGGTGCAAGTAAGTTAAAATTTTGATATGTTAAAAATGATATATTACATGTTAATAATAAATAATAAAAAAAAACAAAAAAATTCATATTTTTATATTCATTAGGAAAACCATATTTACATCAATCAATATTTTGGTCCGAGTTAGGACCAGAGGCTGCATATGAAGCAATTGGTATTGTGGATTCATCACTGCCAACTGTAGGAGTTTTTGTAAAAACAGACTCGGATACTACAAAAGCATCTGCTAATGATACATATGAAGCTATATGTTCAAATAAAAAGGTAATTAAAAGTTACAAGTTTTTTTTTTGTGATTTATATATTTATATATAATATAAATATAATATAATATTTTATATAATATAAATATAATATAATATTTTATATAATATAAATATAATATAATATTTTATATAATATAAATATAATATAATAATTTATATTTTATATTTTTAAAATATAGAAATTAAGTTCAACCGAAAAACAAAATCCAATAGAATCAAACTTAAAAGAAAATGATAAATCTATAACTCTTGATGATAATTCAAAACCCAAAAAATATGATGATTTTGCAAAAGGAGTTATTTTTTATCTACGTGATGATATTGTGGTTGGCATATTGCTTTGGAATATTTTTAATCGGATGTCTATTGCTAGGCAGGTGCGTTTATTAAAATTCACAAAATATTTTTTGTAGAATATGTGTTATTTTAAAAAATTAATTTTTCTTATAACTATTACAGGTGCTCACTAGAGGCACAAAATATGATGATTTAAATGAAGTAGCAAAACTATTTTCTATTCATGATGACTAATAACATAAAAACTACATGACTATATTGTGTCATTGTATTACTGTACATAATGTTATTTATCTATCAGTTCTGAAATATTTTATAAATAAAAAAAAAGTCTATTATTGATATCTTATTCTTGAGTTTAAGAGGTACGACTTGTATAAATATTACATATAAGATATTTTCAAGTAAAATCTATAAATAAAAATATTCTTCCTTTATAGACAATGAAATATGTTTATTAAACTATTATTAGATGTGAATTTTATTAGAAAATAAATGATGATAAATATTTTCTTAGTTATTTAATTAGAGTTTAATATCATTTCTACAATAATTATATATATATATATATATATGCATGTATATAATATTCATAGATGCTTACAATTTATTTAAATTAATATTTTAAAAAATTACTTTATATAGTAATATTTAATTTCGATTTTTACATACAAACATTTTTTACAATTATATTTTTTTCTTTTTTATTAATGAATATTCATTAAAAAATGAAAATTTTTATTATTTATATAACTTATTTATTTTTTATTTCATTTTTTTAATTGAATTCTTTAATTAAAAAATTAGTTAAAATTTTATTACCATATCTTTTATCTAATGAATCCATAAATCTAATATAATTATGACATTGATAATCATCCAAAACCTAAATAATATAATATAAATTATATATATATTTCATATATATCATATAATATATTAAATATATATAGTACCATATTTTCTGGCCATAGTTTTCCACTTGTTATATTTTCCATTATTCGAAATTGACAATGATATAGAAGTGATGTACAATAGTATATTATGTAATCAGGAGAAAACAAAACACAAATTGCGAAAAAATGCATAATTTGAGACCATGGAAGTAAACCCCAAAAGCATTGGGATATCATTAAATTACATATTAAGGACCAATCCACTCCAGAACTATTCTATATTGCAATATAAATTAATTAATAAAAGATTACATAAAGATCTTTAATAAAAGATTTTAAATAATTTTGAAATTTATTTTTCCATATATACCTTGAGTGCAAATTTAATATGTGAAAGTTCATTGCTAATAATACTTTCTAAAAATTGCATAAATATATATTGAGTGGCACATTCTTGTTTAGTATATTTATCTATAACTTTACCAAAGTTAGTCCACAAAAAGGGAATTACTGGGAAGTGAATTAATTGTGTAATAAACATTTTACATCTGAAATTAATTATATGTATTATCATATTAAAATTTAAAAGGTCGATGATGATAAATAACTATCTTATGTGCATTTTATTGCAATGATGACCAAGTTTTCAACCTGAGACCTGCTAATGATGATACATTGACTAGCTAGAGTTGCCCTATAATTTTTTTCTTGAAAAAATACTAATAATTTCAATATTTTGTTCAAAAATGTTTAAAAATGTTCAAAAATAGTTTAAAAATATTAAAAATATTTTTGACAAAATTTGAATTTACTAGTAAGGGGTGTATTCGCGGTCAACTGAGGCAATAAGAAATAAAAAAAAATTATCTAATAATTATAAAAGTCTAAAATAAAATTTATTATTAAAAATTAAATTTTTTTACAGAAATGCATACCTGTTCACATCTCCTTTACAAATAATAAATACCGTAGATAAAAACCAATCAAAACCATCAAATTTTGTTGGTCTTTCGTAATGTATAAATGCATGACATTCATTTATAAATTTTTTTAATTTTTCTTTCATTTCAATTGTGTTTTCTAAAACATCATTTTGTTCTGCGTAATACAAAGTTAAATTAATTCCATGTATTTCTTCTGCAAACCAAAAATCTGTATTTGATGATATATTTTCTTTCCATTGAAAGTTTTCTCCCCATTCTGCAGTAGGAATTGCTTTTTGCATCTGATCCACAAGTTGAATTAATATTATATTCTAATAAAAAAAATTTATTTTGTGAAATTATAAGATGTAAATTTTAAACTTAAATTTTTAAAATTTAAAAAATATATAATATATAATCTGTGAATTAAGTGAAAATAAAAATTTATATATACTTTTATTGGATTTAGTGATATTATATATGCTTCTCTAATTTGTTCAACCCAATTAGTATCTAATAATACTGATTTATTTTCTCGAAGTAAAGTTTCTAATTCTGTATCATATTCAGTTTCTGTAGATAAATTTTCTTTGTTTAATTTCAGAGGAGGTAGCTTTGGTAAATTATATTCTTCTGATTTAAAAGTTTCTTCTTCATCTTTACTTTTAATAAAATATGTTTTAGATATAATTTTATGTCGTATTAATGTATAATCATCAATATATCTACTATCTATTTCTTCATTTATAACTTCTTTTATATCAAAATTTTGAAATTCTAATAAAATATTCTAGAAAAAAATATATAAATTATGTTAATTTCAAAAAAATGAAAATTAAAATATTTTAAATTAATTAAATAAAATAATATATTACCTGAAAATTTAATAATTCTAATAAATATAAACAAATATTTAAATTCCAAATTACAATATTTAATGATAAAAGTCCTAAATAATGATAATTTGATTCAGGATTTACTAAATCATTAAATAATTGTGATAAATTAAGTGGATAATTATGTTCTTCATTATTATATGATTCTTTTACATTTGACATAAATGCGCAAAAACCTGTGAAATAAACAAGTAATTATTTAATATCAGTAAACGATATTTTTAGTCAAAGTAATATAATGAAAAATTCTTATTTTTATTCGTACATTTAAAATTAAGAGAAAAAATAGTTAATATATGTAAAAATTTTTGAATATTTTCATGATCCCATGGGTCATGAAAATAATGTGGATCTTCTAATATTTTACATGTCTCTGAAAGTAAGTTAGACAAAACATGGGGTGCCAAATTAGCAATTACATCATATCCCAAATGAAAAAAAAGCAGCAGATGATACAAAATTAACTACTTCAATTGATGTCCAAGACATTCTTAAAGGTGCAATAGATCCTTCAATTAATTCTTGAAATACTGATGATTCTTGAACAAGAGCTTTCAATCCAAATGGAATAGATACCATTTTAATCAATAATGTATTAACTGCACTGCAAATTATATTTTTTATATTCTATTTTATATATAAAAATAAATTGTGTATCAGTAAATTACCTCTTTATTTGTTGAGCTTTATTTTCATTTTCAAAATAAGATTTATCTAATTTCTTATAAAAATATGATACAGCAGGATAAAATTCTTTTTCTATTTTATATTGTATTATTTCATATGCATCAAATATATCAAATAACTTTTGTATTACATCAAATAATTCAAAAAGATATTCCATATTTATTAAAGATAAAGGTTGTCTTAACATATTTGAAGCTATTACTATAATAAACATAGCTGGACATTTTGATATACTTTTTTCAAAATTTACTGTATGTTCCTTGCATTCTGAGATAAGAAATAAAGAACCATCTATTGTGTCTAACATATGTAGAATAATTTTTAATGTATGTGGCCATATTTTAATGTTATTTTCAGAAAAAGATGATAAATGGCACAAAGCAATATGATAAAATTCGTAATCATATAATATCGTTGGCTTATCTAAAATAAATTGTAAAGCAAAACAAGAAACATTATATACACCACTTACTGTTTCTACAGATAGTTTATTTAGAGCTTTTAAAGAAGCACTTAAAAATTTAGAAACTGAAAATGGAATGATTAAAATATTTTCTATTAAAAGTTCACGACCTGCTTCATAAGCACAAAGTTGAGACACAAAACATAGACAATGAAGATAAGTTACTGTTTCTATTGTATTTCCATTAATAATAACTTCCATTGGATCATCATAAATAGAAATTGCTATAGAATGAGGAGGCTCTCCCAATCCTTTTTGTACATAATGCATTACTTGTTGTAATAAATTTGGTGATTTTCCTAAAGCAGTTAAAAATATTTTTCTAGTACCAAGATTTACAATCCATTTTTTACTCCAATCAGCACATGGTTCTAACACAGAAATAATGTTCAATATATTTAATGTTTTTTGCTGCATTATATTTCCAGATACATGTGTACTCAAAAATGTAATAAATTGTTCTATTAATTCTTCTATAGTTTTATCGGGATTTCTTATACTTTTCAGTTTTTCTTCATGATAATGAATTATTAAATGTATGATACGAAATACTCTTTCATGTAAAAAAAATTTAAAATTAATTCCAGAAATTAGAGTAGGTAAAATCTCAAACGTCTTTTGTGAATCATATTGAAAATCAAAAGCATTTAACAAATTGATATATACATCATATGATTGTAGACAAGTTATCAATTTTGCATGTACTTGTAAACTAGCTTCAAAAATAGGTTTACTTTCATCTACAAGACCTTTTAATAAAGCTTTTTGAAGCAAATCCCATATAGGATTATTATTTAAATTTGAAAGTTCACTTTTTAATAAAATTTCGTAACCAGCTAATCTAACATGAATAGGTTTATCTTGATTAATTTTATCAAGAATAACATTATAATATTCATCATTATTTAATGGAGAATTCCAATCTTCACTTGTTTGATCACTGATGCAAGAAAAGGATGATTGAGGTCGAGAATCAGAAATTATAGTTGATTCAGATCTCGAAGATTGTTCAAGAATTGTAGTTTTCATAGAATTTACTAAAATGGACATTTCCTTTGAACGTATAATACTTTGAGCTATATTAACATTATCTGTATCTTCTTTTAATGATCTTTGTATATTATTTTCAAATTCTCTTTTTAAACATTTTTTTATCCACTTTTGAAGATTTGGAGAAATACTGCCTTCCATATTTATAAAATAAATAAATCTTAATTATACAATCGTGTTTAAAGAATTATAATAATCATAAACGTACATGAAATCTTTATTTGAAATTGTATTGTTTTGACTGAGTTTCTATGGTAACTATCTATTATAGAATAGTATAGTACAATAAATAGATATAGTATACATACTATAATAAAAATTTAATGATTGAAAATTTAACAATAATAATCTCATAAAAATAATATAATCAAATAAACTATTAAAACATATAAATAAAATTAATATTTATATATATACAAATTTTATAATTTTCTAATACAGAAATAATTTAGGATAATTTATATTAAAAATTGTTAAATATGTACAAATATGTATATCATTTTTTATATTATAAATATCTTTTTTTAACGCGCTGCTACTATAACATTTGGATATTTCATCCGTAAAGCAGAAATTCCTCCTTGTAAAGAACATACACCCATAATTTCACATTTTACTAAGAAATCTGCAAACTACAAAATTCTTAACTAATTATAAAAGTCTTAATTGTTATATTGAAAAATAAAAATTTCATAATACATATAATATTTACCAATGCATTATTTTGATCATGGGGTCCAATAATTACAACAATACTATTTTTATTTTCTACGAGTGGTTTTGCATGTGGTCCAAGGGTTTCAATATGAGTTAGAGAAAGTTGTACACTTGTAAATGGAATATTAATACTACCTATTACAGCACCTCTTTCAAATCTATATAAAAATAGTAACTATTATATAGAAAAAATAATTTGGAATAATACAATTTTATCATAAAATACTCACTGTATATTATTACGTACATCTACAGCTATCAATTTCTCAGGACAATTATCTAATAAATCTAAAAAATCATCAACAGAAATTCTTGGCATTTTTTCAGTCCCAGGTTCCAATTCAGACCAATTTATATCCTATAAAAAAATATTTAAGAATTTTTTAAAATTCCTAAATAAATATAAATAATAAATAATAAAATTTATAATTATAGCAATAAATTATTAAAGAATTTATATAAATATATCATCATAACATATTAATTTATACCTTTGGTTGATTAAATTGATGTTTTCTATAAGTAATACTAGGTGGTGTATTTTGATACATCATCATAGAATCTTTAACACATAGTTCTATATCAATTTCGGGAAGATCAGAAAATAAAAGAATACATTCATTAAAACCTGAAGTTAAAAGAGAATCTCGCAGTTGTTTCAATATAGCTAATCCAACAAGAAGTGGAAATGAAGAATCTCCTAATAAGAGTTTATCCCATAAATGGAGTATTTTATGAAGTGGAAAAACATCTAAAATAAAAAAATTAAAAAGTGAAATAAGAACATTCAAAAAAATTTTACATAATTTGAATAATAATAAAATAAATAACTTACGTGAAAACATTGTTAGAAACCATGGAATAGCAAATAATTCTGGTACAAAGTTAATTGATCTAAGGTGATTAGCTAATTGAGGATCATGAAAAGCTATGATTTGTGAAAATTTTCCTAAATATTCTTGTATAATAGCTGAATTATCTTTTAAAAAGAATTTGTGAAGATATTTTGGTATAAATGCAGACAAACATTCAAATGCTCTAGCTAAAATTATAATATATAATAATTAATGTATAATATACTTTATATATAATGTATAATATAAATATACTTTGTGATATATTTAAGTTATTACCTTCGTTATTAAAGTTAAGATAAAGAAATGGAGCTGTTAAAGAATCTAATCCTTGCCAATAAACATAATGAGGATTATTTCGAACCCATGCTTTGAGTAATCTTTGTAATCTCTCGTGACCAGCACCAGATGATAATAATTCACTATATTGATGACATCTTGGTATATCTACCTCTATCTATATAAGATATTTTTAATATATTAAAAATAAATAATTTAATGTTATTGTTAATTATTGTGAGATTAATATAAATTACTTGTCGATCTGTATGAGTAGGTGTTTCTTTATCAATCATATCATAACGTTTTTGAATATCACCAGTGATACCAAGTAATGCTGCCCAAACAGCTCCTCTAACGGGTGGTGGTATATCTTTATGTGCTTCTTTAATAATTACTTCTTGTGTAATTGGATATACCTAAATTATAAATAAATAAATATAAAAATACAAATAAATATGAAATATTTTTTAATATGTAATTTTATATATATTAAGTTCAAAAAAAAATATTTTTAATTTTTCTATGAAAAATTTCTATTTTCAAATCACCTGTAGCAATCTATCATATAAAACAATTCTATAAAATTGATATTCTGTATCTCTTTCCCTTATGATTAAAGGTAACTGAGAAGCAGCATCTATTAAATCTTCTTGTGATTGAACATGCATTCTATAAAATAATTAAAAAATCATTAAAACAAGACAAAAGAAAAAAGTGAAATTTAGATTTATATTTATTGTACTTACTGATTTGTTAACCATGGATAATTTGCAATATATGGAATATGAGACAAACGTTGACGTAATGTATCAAGAGGGACTTTAACAACACGTAAATCAAGTAAACCTGCTGTATCTCTCCTTCCAAACATTTGACCTAAAAGTATTACTAAACTAAAAAATGAATTAATAAATTATATTTTATTTTAAAAAAATAAAATAATATTCATTAAATTATTATAGTTACTTTGGAATGGATAAAATAGGTGGTCTTGATCTGATAAGTCCTTGTTTCTTTAATTCCACAGTAATATCTCCTCCTGCTAATTGCCATAAATAATACAATTCATCCATTTTCCTAACAATTACATTTTTGTATAGACTTTTTTTCTTTTCTTTTTCATTTATTAATATAAATTCTTTAAATATTGGCAATTTTAATAATTCTTCTGGTATTTTTCGTTTTGAAGGATGAATTTGGAGACAAGAATCTACAAATTCTTTTACTTTATCGGGTAAATCCTATTATAATAATAAAATATTATAATTACAAAAATAAATATGAAATGTCAAATATAAATGCAAAAAATTACCTTATATATGTTATAACAATTGGTTTCTCTTGCAAGACGTTCAAATACAGAAGTTTCACAATGAATGAGACTAAGAACTTTTCGTAAACATTGGGATAATTTTACACCTGACCACATTGACTTTGTCAATAATAATTCTGCAATAATCATTCCTAAAGACCAAGAATCTACTTTTGCACTACTGACACCAGGACTTAAAAATACTTCAGGTGCTGTATATTTTGGATAACTAAAAATAAATTGCACTATACATTTAAGAAATATTTATTATTTATATTTTTTTTATCTTTAAATATTTAGAATCACAAATTTAAAAAATTTTATTAAATCTGTATTCTTAAGTTTTATTAATACATACCCAATAGGAAAAGATACATTTTTTCCACTCTCCGTCATATAGTATAAACCAAAATTATATAATTGTACATTTCCACTTTTATTAATTAATATATTTTCAGGACTTAAATGTCTATGTACTAAATTTAACATATTCATATGTTGTAAACCTAATAAACATTGAAATGCTATTTTTATAATATCATCTATGTTTAAATTTTGTTTGTTATTCAATGGATCTCCATTATATTCTGCAACTACTACTATTCGTTCTATAAAAATAAATTTTAATTAAATAATTATATGGAATATTATTCATTTTTTAATTTTTTAAATTTTTACCATGTTTACTTCTAATTATGTCAAGATATGTAGATAAATTTGGGTGATGAATAGTTTTTAAAAATTGAGATTTTCCATAAATAGTTATTGAATTTGGTGTAAGAGGTAAACCATTACTACCACAAACTTCACCTGGATGACTTTGAGCAAAAAATGTCATTCCACCAAAACATCGTTCTTCATTTTCTAGAAGTGCTGGACACATTTTTGACTATAATAAAATAATAAAATAAAAATATATATTTTAAATCATCAATAAAATAATGATTAAAAGATTAATTTAATCTTTTAACAATATAAAAAATTTAAATATACTATTATATATTTATTTTTATATATTTTCACTATATATTTAAAAATATTATGTATTACAATACTATAAAATGTACGTACTTGATTTATTTATAAATTTTTACAAAATTTAAATATAATTAATAAATATTTACATGATTAATTTTATTTATATTTAATACTTATTGTATTAATAATTATACTATAAGTTTTAAAAATATGTTTAACTATTCTTTTAGAATTACATTATTTTATAACTAAATTATTTAAAACTATCATTTATGATATGATTATAATTTTTATTAATGATCTATTTATCAATGTTGTTTACAGAAAAGAAAAATAATATTCACTTCATCTAGATATATCATTTCTCATTTTTAATTTGTTAAAATGAAGTCTCATTTACTTGTAATATATAATGATTATATATTAATATATATAAATAAAAAAAATATAATTTAATTATTAATTATTAATAATTAAAGAAAATTTTTTGATAAAAATCAAATAATTAATTAAACCTTTCATATATATTTTATCACGAACAATAATAAACTAAATCACCGGAAATAAATAAACTAAATCATATGATATTGCGATTTCACCTATTAGTATTTAGTATTAAGATAAGTGTATAAAATACAATACTTTTGACCTTAGTTCTTGCCATTCTAATTGCTCATTTTCATGAAAATGAATTTCTTTTTCTATTTTATTTAGAAGATATAATATTATTTTATTTATATATTTATATTTATAATATTTTTTTTAGATGAAAAATTGCTAATATAATTTTACTTCTTTTAAATTTTAATCATATTTTATATAATATATTCTTTTTTATTATAAAAACAGCAAAGGATTTTGAAACTACAAATACGCCATCTACAATAACTTCAAGAAATATAAGTAGAAATTTTAATATTAACATATATCTAGTAAATATATATTCTTTTCGCTTAATTTTACCTACTTGCCCACATTATTACATTTCTTTCTGATTTTAGTCAGACAACTGAATAGTCGATTGGAAGTCTGTTGTGTAGAGATACAATGACGTGAGTATTTAATCTATTTATATTTTAATAATCCAAAATTTTATATTTTTAATATTATAAATAATGTATTTCTTAATATATCTTTTTAATATAATTATTAATATTTTCTTTAAATAAATATTGTATTAAACGTTATATCGTAATAGTTTTAATACTTCAAAATAGTATGACTCCACGTTGTATCATAAATTCATAAATATTTTTATAAAATCAATCTTAATTATTTAAAAATTATTTATATAAATAAAAATATAATTTTTTGTAATTTTAAATTATATTTTAAAAAATTAATATTAAAAATTACAAATTAAAAAATCTTTCTATTGCATAAAATTAATTTTTTTATTTTATTTTTTTTTTATAATTTTTAATATAATTTTAAATATTTCAACTTATATACCTATATATATTTTGTGTTTTTATAATAAATTATAGAGAGATACAATAAAAATATATAATTATTTTGAATTAAATTTCTGATATAATAATTTTAATGAATAGGTCCAAAGTATCGCGTGATACTCTCTATGAATGTGTGAATGCTGTCCTCCAACACTCACAAGACAAAAAAAGGAAATTCTTAGAAACAGTGGAGCTTCAAATTGGATTGAAGAATTATGATCCACAAAAGGACAAACGTTTCTCAGGCACCGTCAAGTATGTTTTTACCTGACATTGAGGATTTTTTTCGGTTTTTGATAATTTTTAAATCTATTTTTCTTTTTTTCTTTTTCTTAATTAATGTCCGAAAAGATTACCTCATATATAGTCAGGAAGCTGGGTTTTACCTAGCGGACCTTCACCCAGGGTCTTAAATAAATTGGGAAGGTATTTTACCTTTGTTTTTATTCTAGGATCATAACTTATGATCCTGCAGGTAAGTTAATATTTGATTGTGGCAATTATTTATTCAATTTAATTAGTGAAATTAATATTCAATGATGGTAATATTGCATGTATTATCTGAATAATTTATGTTGTTTTTCAATATGCCACTGAGAATATTGCCTTTTATATATCTATTTTTATTTTTGTATAATTATATTAATTTTAATTTTTACTTTTTAAATATTGTTATTTCTTATATTATTTATATACATTATATATATATTATATTAAAATTATATGAATAATAAATAATTTTAATTCATCAAAACGTTTTTATATATATGTAAGTGTTAATTTATATGTATTGTATTGTTTGTTAAAGATTAAAAAAATATTCCAAGACCAAAAATGCAGGTTTGTGTTTTGGGAGACCAACAACATTGTGATGAAGCTAAAGCTAACAATATTCCATATATGGATGCAGAAGCATTGAAAAAATTGAATAAAAATAAAAAACTTGTAAAAAAATTAGGTAATTCAAAATTTTTTATGTATTATTTTTTTATTTTGTCTTCCAAAAAGCACCAATGTTGAGTTATAATTTTTAACAATGGTTGTCGAATGGAAGAAAATTAAATTCTTCACTAGGTGAGGACGTTGTGTTTCATTACTTCGTATCCTCAATCCGTGTTGAGACATTTTTTCAAAATTAATTTTATTATTATTATTTAAAAATTAATTTGTATGTAATTTTTTCAGCCAAAAAATATGATGCTTTCTTAGCTAGTGAATCTTTAATTAAGCAAATTCCACGTATTCTTGGTCCTGGTCTAAATAAAGCTGGTAAATTCCCTGGTCTTCTTTCTCATCAAGAATCAATGGTAGGGAAAATTGATGAGGTGAAAGCTACAATTAAATTTCAAATGAAAAAGGTAAATTTTGTTTTATATTTATTGTATTATTATATTACAAATTCTTAAAATTATAATTTTTAATATTTTTTTTAAAATATAATTTGAAAAATTTTGTTTAGGTATTATGTCTGTCAGTAGCTGTAGGACATGTGGAAATGACTCCAGATGAATTAGTACAAAATGTACATCTTTCAATTAATTTTTTGGTTTCATTATTAAAAAAACATTGGCAAAATGTGCGTTCTCTTCACATTAAATCTTCTATGGGTCCTCCTCAAAGATTATACTAATTATATTAATTGATGTGAATTATATTTCTCATGCATAATGAAGAAATAAAACAAAAATAAAAGTATAATATATGGTGTTATTTATTACATGAAATTTCCCATTTGATTTTTTAAATATATAATAAAATTTAATAAAATAAATCATGTATTATAATTAATCATTGAAAATTAAATTTTATAAACTTATCAAAATGAAATATTTTAAAACAGTACATCATAATATATAACATTTTATATAAAAATAAAACTAAAGTAATAAAATAAATGTTGCGAATATTAAAAATTTTATAAATATTATTTTATATATATGTATATATATAAAATTTTATTTATATTTTTTTAAATTTAGTTGTAATATTAATTTAGTTTCATAAACACTATAGATGAAACATCTTTATCTATAAATTATTAGAAAGTTCGAACATCATATATGAATTTTTCATCTATTTAAAACTGTTACAATTAACAATTAAAAAGAATGAATTTGAAACATCATACTTATTCAATTAAATAAAATAGGATATTTATTTGTATTTGTTATTAAATTTGCACATATCATAATCTTAATTAATAATGAAACAAATTTTTATTAACAAATAAATTATATACATTATCTTAAATGATATATATTTATTTGCACTGCCAATATATATACATGTAATTTGTTTGCATAATATATATTACCAAATTATTATCGTTTTTATATATAAAAAAAACACTAGATTGTATAAAATATATATTAAAAAATCCTATTATTTAAAAAATTTTTTATTATTTAAAATTATCATTTATTATTAATAAGTTTGATATTATATTTTATAATATTTATAATATTTTCAGAAAATAGCATCACCTATAAATTTAATATATGAAAATATTTCAAAGAAGATAAAAATATTATCAAATTAAAAATAAAAATAAAAATAAAAATATAAAAATCAACACTTTTGAAATATATACAATTTCAAATATTTTATTTTTGTTTTATATTATTTATATGTATAAAAAAATTTATAAAAATATATATTTATTTTTTTAAAAAGAAAAGAAATTTATAAATGTAATTGAATATAAAAAAGATATATTATAATTGCAAATATTTTAATTACATGTTTTAATTAACTATAATTTTTTTATTTTATTACCTCATTTTTAAAATTTTTTTATATATATTTAGATATTTAAAATATTATAATTTGTACATCTAAAATAATTCTTATATAATATTGTATCATGTTTTATTTATAATAATTAATTAATTAAATTTTATTATTATTAAATATCTAGAATAAAAAATATCAACATTCTTTAAGTATAAGTCATGTGTTTATTTATTTAAATATATATATTAAAAATTAATAATGTGATATAATATAAAATTACAAATATTTTTAGGAGAATTCTCTGCAATATCTTAAAATTAATATATTATATAAATTTTACACTAAAATGAAAATTTTTGTATGTAATAATTTATTTATTGAATTATTATTTTCTTTTTGCATACAAAATAAAGTAATTAATTTATTCAAATTTATATATGTAATTTACATTTAATATAAAATAAAAAATATGGCTAATATTTTTTCAATAATATGCAATTTATTTTGAATTGCATAAATATGTATCATTCATAATACATAATTTTATACTTGTTTTTAATTATAATATATTCTTATTTATTGATATAAATTCAAGCTTAATAATAATGATATTTTTGTTAAGATTTATTAATATATAATTAATAGCGATATTTTGTAGAATAATCTTTGGGTGAAACAACTAAACCTCTACCTTTTCTAGCACCTCTATAAACTGTTTCAATAATATCAATCATTTCTTGTTTATCTTCTAATGTCCAATTTATTTTATTATTATTTCCAGTTCCTAAATCAATCATTATATGCTTATTTCGAAAAAAAAACATTACTGTACAAGGATCATATAATTCATACCTATAAAAAATTTACATTTATATTTTCTACAAAAATTTATTTATATTATCTTATAAAATTTTTAATTTATTTTATAATATATTGTACTTGATAATATTTAAATTTGTTTATTTTATTTATTAAAATAAAATTATTTAATAATTATTATATTTTTTAATAAGAATTAGAATATTTAAACTAATAATTTTTAATTTAAAACTTACATTTTATTAAAGTCAGGTACTTGTGTAATGTCAACCAAATAGATGACAGCAAAATTTTTTACTTTTTCAGCAATATTATAAAGTACTTCATCCATTTTCATACACATTGGATCCCAATCATGACCAAATCTGATAACCTAAATATATATTATTTTACACGTTTTTTTATTTTATTAAACAATACAATTCCATGTATTTTCAAAAAATCTAAAATATTTGATTTAATAAAATTAAAAACTTACAACTACTCTATCTTCTTCTGATAAAATCGCCTGATCTACTTGCCATCCATTATGAAGATGTGACAACATGTAAGACATTGTATTTTTTATTTATTAAATGCAAATTGAGGAGAAAAGAAGAGACAATTTGTCTTTTTACATTCACATATAATAAAATATTTTTGTTGCTATAAATCAACTAAAATTCAACAAACAAATTAAAAATAGTTATATATTATATAAAATCACGTAATAATTATTTATCATTATATAAGTTTTATCATGTAATTGAAATTATAAATTATAAATTACAAAATTTTATTTTACAGTATAAATCAACATCATACTACAGCATACAGTACTTCTATACTTGAAAATCAAAATTCACTATTATCAACTATTGACAAAATTAAAAAAATCTCTAGTTCCACTTTAATTTTTACAATATCAATTTTATTTTATAAGATTATTAATTTTTGTTTATAATTATATTCTATCATATATTCTTTCTATAGTAATAAAATAATAATATTTATTATAATTAAATTATTGATTTAATGTTAAAATTATATTAAAAATTTTAAAATTAAAAATCTTATTTATTTCTTTCAAAAATAAAAAAAATTATTTTATATTTTAATAAAGTATAAATTATTTAAAAAATGTTACATTTTGATTTACTTAGTAAAATATAAAAATAAATATTAATATAACTGATATTATATTTATATTCTCTATATAAAATGTTGGATTCTTATTTATATATCATATACAAATAATACGTACATTGTTGATGTAATGCAAGAGTCTAAATATCAACGTGTACATTTTTTATAAATCTGGCTTCTCTTTTTTTATTTAAATAAAAACGCAAACAAAGGTAAAATGAAAATATTTATAAAAATATAAAAAATAAATATTAGATAGATGTAGATACAAATGTTACGTACTTTTTAATAAAACATATATATCTAAATTTGTTAATTAGTATGTCATAAAAATATCATATAAGTGCAATGAATATATTTATATTTAGATATAAATTATAACTTTTTTATATTTATAAATTACTATTTATTTATAATATATTGTAAATATTATTGATTTTTAATATTATTTCATTATTTCTTATATTGAATAACATTATATTGAATAAGAATTAAAAATTTAGAAATATATTTGATAAATTTTATATTATTTAATATAATTTAATATACAATTTTATGTATGTTAGCATTTAATTTTATGTTCATACTACTATTAAAATTAAGTATATTATGTATTCATGTCTTATGTAAAATATAAAATAACAATTAATAGCAATTATTAAAATATATTATTTTGTAGATAAAATGATCCATTGCTCATCATATTAAAAATATTGTTTATAAAAAATATTATATAATGAAATCACAGCAACGTAAGTATATAATTTTAATATGAAAAAAATATAAATAATTATATTTTATATATATGTATCAATATAATTTTCTTCGATATTTTATTTATTAATAATTTATTTTGAAGGAACTGGTCAAATATTAAAATATGTTAGTTTAATTACACTTACATTACAAAATGCCTTGGTTGGACTTAGTATGCGTTATGCACGTACAAGATCAGGAGATATGTTTCTCTCATCAACTGGTACATTATATTTTTTATAAAAATTAATTTTTTATTAAAAATAAATTTATTAAGTTATCATATAATATTTTTTAGCTGTTGTTATGGCAGAAGTTGTTAAATTTTTAACATGTCTAATATTAGTTTTTATTGAAGAAGGAAATTTTTTGAAATTTTTTGATTCTCTAAAATTAATAATTATAAAACAGCCTATTGATACCTTAAAAGTATCTGTGCCATCACTTTTATATATTATACAAAATAATCTTTTATATGTATCAGCATCTAATTTAGATGCAGCAACTTATCAGGTATGTGCAAAATATATTCTTTTATTATTATTATTTTTATTATATATTAATATTATGTTTTTATATATATTATTTCTTAGGTAACATACCAACTTAAAATCTTAACAACAGCATTTTTTGCTGTAGTAATATTACGAAGATCTTTAAGAAATACTCAATGGGGAGCTCTAATATTATTAGTTATAGGAGTAGTATTAGTACAATTAGCACAAAGTTCAGATACTAGTTTGCCATCTGGCATAGAACAAAATCATTTACTTGGATTTTCAGCTGCTTTAAGTGCATGTTTTTTATCAGGTTTTGCAGGCATATATTTTGAAAAAATATTAAAAGATTCAGATATATCTGTATGGATAAGAAATATTCAATTAAGTTTGTTATCTTTACCTTTTGGATTAATTACATGTTTTGTAAATGATGGTGAAATGTTACAGAAACAAGGTTTTTTCTTTGGCTATGATTTATTTATTTGTTATCTAATTATACTTCAAGCAGGTGGAGGTCTCATTGTTGCAATGGTGGTTAAATATGCAGATAATATACTTAAAGGTTTTGCTACATCCTTAGCCATTATAATTTCTTGTGTAGCTTCAATATATCTTTTTAATTTCAATTTGAGTTTCCAGTTTTCTATAGGTGCCATTTTAGTAATATTATCAATTTTTATGTATAGTCATCAACCAAAGTCTACAATTGTTGATAAACATTCTCTAACTGATAAAGTTTGATGTAAACTAAATTAAACTGCCTATAAGATAAGTGATATTATTCAATTCAGTAAATTTATTAATACATTCAGCTAATGTAATTTATTATATTTTTTCATGTGAAGTGGCAATCATGATGATGATTAATGATATGATTAAAATATTAATATCTATATCATATCAGTCACTTAATCAGTATTTTTTTTATATTTTTTATATAAAAAATTTAATTAATTTCTTAATATTAATTATAAATAATAAAATAACTTAGTAATAAGTGATGTTTTCATAAAACAATAATACAATAACTTGTTAATAGGTCATGGGATAAAAATACAAATTTTAAATATATAATTAAATAATTGTATTAAAATTGATAAAAACAAAGTAAGCACATTTTTATATTAAATTAACAAATTACTTATTGTATATGTAAAATTATTCTTTTAATATATTCCATACTATATATAGAGAATTATATATAAAAAACAATTCTTTTTTTCTAATTTATATATTTTTATATAATATTAGAATCTTTTACTATAAATACAAATATATATATGTATAAATAAAATTTATAATTTATGTTGTACTTAAATTTCAATAAATATATTATAATGCATTTATTTATTACTTATTATTACTTATTTATATATTTATTTCTTTACTATTAATTTAAATTATATTTTTAAAAAACAGAAAAAAATTCATTACGAAAGAATTAAAATATATATTCCTATGTAATTCTTATCTCATATCGATACATGTAATAATTATCAGTAACAACTACCAATTCTAATAATTTAAATTTTTAAGTAAGTAAAAGTTTATTATTAGGAATAATATTTTATATAATCATTATTATATATCCAAAAATAATAAAATGTTTTCAAAATAATTTATATTTAAATATTTGAATAATATCGATTTCAGATAAAAAGATCGATATATATTATGTAATACAAAGAGTGTTTGGAAAGAATTAAACAGCATTTTCATACATGTTGGCAATCGTGTATAGTATCGTATATGCTGATTGTTCCAGTATAAGAAGTAGAATTTTCGATCTCCAGTATATAAGAGTATCGATAAGAATGAGTGAGCCTCAATCAAAGAAAGTCAAGATGACGAGTTCATTAACACAATTAAAGGAAATTACAACAATTGTCGCCGATACCGGTGACTTCCAAGGTAAATAAATAGAACTTTTAAATATATAATTTTAATATACATACGGTCAAAGGTGAAGGTGACTATAGAAGTATAATAGGCGAAATTCAAATGGCGCACTTATAGTTTATCATTTAAATATTAAAAATTAAGAATTATATCTTTATTATTTAGTTATATTACAATATATTTAGTTTTATATATATATATATATATATATATATATATATTATAATAA